CAGTGTCAGCTAAAATGCAAATTTCTTTTAAAAAACCGTGAATCAATACATACAACTGTCTAAATCACTTCGACGAAGCAAATCTTAGAAAAAAAAAACAATTTATACTTAATTTTTGACCTAACCCTACCTACATTGACTAACTTTCGAAACATCTACTCAATTATTTTTTTTATATTTAATTAATTATTTTACAACAACCAAATTATCGAAAAAAAAAAATGACAACAAAAAAATGAATGCACTGGATTATAATTGAAACTACTCTTTAAAATTGTCCGGCAAGATAGCGGATGGGCTGGCAACATTACTGTGACAGCGAGTCATACATGTCAACTGTCAAAAATTGGCGCCAATCCGCCATTTTGCGGAACATCGATAATATATCATTATCAAGCCTTAATTTTATTAGCAAGTAATTTTTTTTATATTTTTCATTTATACAGTTTAATTCTAAGAGTTGTTTTAACTCTCTCCATCAACACCTTTGGCGCGCTTAAAGATACGAAAAAAAATTGCAACGAACGAACTTAAAAACGACTTAACAATTAATTCACCATAAGAATTTATGACGATGTATTTATATGCGGGAACTTTTGAGACAATAAATGTGAAGAAAAACATCCAATTTGCTTACTAAATTTAATTTTAAGATTATACTTAGCACAAAGTTTGCAATAAATGTATACATATGGGGTTATCAAATGTCAAAAATAAGAAACAACTTTATACATACAAGAAATTGTTACAAAAGAAAATAAGAAATATTTAGAAATTGGCACAGACTTTCGAGTTTTCGTTTAAAACTGCTGCCGTACAGTAATAATAAAAATAGTTTACAAGACTTTTTATAAGAAATTTAGACCAAGCCATCATATTTAACAAAACCATTAATGTATAGTAAAGTCCTGAAGCATTCTGCGTTTTATACATAACTTTTAGGACATTTTGATGATACAAAATTATATCTAAATCTACATCTCACTTTTATTTAAACAATAAACTATTACTAATGAATTACCGTCTAATTACAATTATAATTTAGTACACAATCAATGTGTTTTTCAACCAAACACACAACGGAAATCAAACCAATATTTTTTTTTTACATTTTCCAAAAACAATGAATTAAATATATCAATCATGTACGCATGATTTTATTGACTATATACCTTAAGGATCACTCATAATAAGAATTATTTCATATTTCTTAAATCCACGGACAGTCACCGCTACCATCAGTTGACTGGACAATCTCTACACTACATAAGCTGATGTTTACATGTGAACATTAGCTCATGGCGATACCTAAGTACGTGTGTCGCCTGGACAGTCACCGCTACCATCAGTTGACAGTACAATCTCTTTGCATGAGCTGCTGTTTACATGTGAACATTAGCTCATGACGATACCTAAGTACGTGTGTCGCCTGGACAGTCACCGCTACCATCAGTTGACTGGACAATCTCTTTACATGAGCTGCTGTTTACATGTGAACATTAGCTCATGACGATACCTAAGTACGTGTGTCGCCTGGACAGTCACCGCTACCATCAGTTGACTGGACAATCTCTTTACATGAGCTGCTGTTTACATGTGAACATTAGCTCATGACGATACCTAAGTGCGTGTGTCGCCTGGACAGTCACCGCTACCATCAGTTGACTGGACAATCTCTTTACATGAGCTGCTGTTTACATGTGAACATTAGCTCATGACGATACCTAAGTACGTGTGTCGCCTGGACAGTCACCGCTACCATCAGTTGACTGGACAATCTCTACACTACATGAGCCGGTGTTTTAGCTTATGAGTTCCTGCGTATAAATACAACGTTGCAGCTAAAGATCGCTTCTATAAAAATGTCTCGATATAAAATTAGAATGAAATTTTAAGGTTAACATTACATTATTTGTCTATTACATTAGGACGGGTATATTAAAAAAAAAACTGGATTTTTATTGACTCAAAAGCCTTTGTCTCAGTCATCACATTGTGTATACAATACATTTATTATTTAAACTATTATCATGAGACATTATTGCAGGTCAAAATTGAAAGAATTCATTGGCAGATTTTTCTTGTGAAAGGATCTTAAGCTTTATTTTTAATGACAAAAACCTTTGCGTCAATATTTCAATAACACATTTCCTTCGTTACACAATAATTAAGTAAAACGTATAAATAATTATAGGAACTATTTTGTCGGGTTTTCGAAGCGATCAAAGCGTACTACACAAGTATTTTTTTTTTATTATAATTTTATAATCTTAACGTAGGTTTTATATATTAAACAGAATCGCAACGCCGTGGTGGTATGTCGAATTAAAAAACGCCTATTGTATCAAGCATGTCACTGGAAAAGATATAGAAAAATAATAGTGCACGAGGAATCGTCACGTCTTGAAGAAAATCTTGACTTGGTTGTACCGACGTCAACCAATCAAAAACGAAAAAAAATACAGCGTTTTCGAAATAACTAAAGAAAATAACAAAAGCTGATAGTACTATCGACATGATCGATAAAAAGCAGCCTACATAGTCAAAATTATATATATTAAAAACTCTTTTTATAGCAACATACCACTAGCGGGTTGCCCAACAAAAAAATAAAAATAAAAGAATAAAATAAAGCACACTTACAAACTAAGAAAAGTAAGAGCCATAACGCACACTTAGCATTCGTTTTCAGCTTAAGAACCCTATACAATAATTATATTTAATATATATATTTAAATGTATCGTAGTTATAATTATAAGGTTATATTGCCTAGATGCGTTCCGAATCGAATGGTTGACAGATAGCAAAAAAAAAACTATATAAATTTCTGCGCATAGACTGCAAAACATATTTATAGTAAATTGAAATAAAAAAAAACTCTTCCTAGTGAATTATAATCGCTTCTTTGGCGAACACAGCATACAAATATAATTATTTATTTTCGAAATTTTCGCACTCATTGTCCTTTATAATAATTACAGGATAACTCTACCACACGACTGTTTAGAGGCACGAAAATTTTCTGACGAGAAATTGAGGGTTGAAGGGCTAAAAATATACAGTCATAAAAACACCTCAATCGACAAAAGATATATATTTTTACGATTACTATATTCTAGTTAGAATCATTCTAATCTTCGATTCTTGACTAAAATATGTTTTAGTTAATCCGTATCATCATCAACAACAACAACAGATTTGTGTTTTAAATAAGTTAAGTTCAGAATTATCACCGATTTCGGCCAAAAGCGTTCATGTATGTAGGTCCAAGAAAATATATTGAAATCAGAATTTCAGAAGAAGAATGAATCCTAAAACACATATTACGGACATGACCATTATCAAAATATTCTTATTATACTTGTAATATCGATTCAGCTTATAATAAGACTGAAAATATACATTTTATTTATTGCTTTTCAACTAACGGTCATGTACTAGTGTTTAGGATTTTTATATTAAGTAGAGATACAAAACCAAATTCAACACTACATGAGCTGTTTACATGTGAACATTAGCTCATGACGATACCTAAGTACGTGTGTCGCCTGGACAGTCACCGCTACCATCAGTTGACTGGACATTCTCTTTACATGAGCTGCTGTTTACATGTGAACATTAGCTCATGACGATACCTAAGTACGTGTGTCGCCTGGACAGTCACCGCTACCATCAGTTGACTGGACAATCTCTTTACATGAGCTGCTGTTTACATGTGAACATTAGCTCATGACGATACCTAAGTACGTGTGTCGCCTGGACAGTCACCGCTACCATCAGTTGACTGGACAATCTCTTTACATGAGCTGCTGTTTACATGTGAACATTAGCTCATGACGATACCTAAGTACGTGTGTCGCCTGGACAGTCACCGCTACCATCAGTTGACTGGACAATCTCTTTACATGAGCTGCTGTTTACATGTGAGCATTAGCTTATGACGATACCTAAGTACGTGTGTCGCCTGGACAGTCACCGCTACCATCAGTTGACTGGACAATCTCTTTACATGAGCTGCTGTTTACATATGAACATTAGCTCATGACGATACCTAAGTACGTGTGTCGCCTGGACAATCTCTACAGTGGATGACTTTCAAAAATACCTATAGTTCAGAAAATACCTGCCACCATTCAATTCGGATAAAACACAGAAACATACAATCAAACACAGACATAAAAACCAAAACAACTTGAGCAAGTTAGTTTAAAAAAAACATTTCAAGGAACGATTCTCAATTACGATAATTTCTCCGAGTAATTATTCGTTAGGTTAATAATAATAATTTTAATGAGTAATTATTTGTTGCTCGTTATAATTATTTATTGGTTAATCGTATGATTATTAGTTTATATGCATATAATATATTTTTTGGAAAAGGTGAGTAATTACGTTTTTTAAATAGGTATTTTATATGTTAATTTTCAGGCTACATAACTTATTTAATTTAATATTTATAAATTCACAATAAATCATTGAAAATCGTTCCGATACATTTTGGGAAAGTAAAATAAAACGGTTGTCTTTATTAAATTTATATTAGAAATAGCACCAAAACGATTTATTATTATTATTATTCTTTTAATATATCGAATACATTCGTTACATATCAAGTTCAACACAGTCAATCTAAGACCTAGGTATTTAAATCACGAAATATCTAGACTACTAATTGCTTATTATTTTCGATGAATCGAATTTGGATATAAATAATTCTAACCAAGTATTTTTGACTCACATAACGTAGAGGGTTTTGTCCTCCTCATACAAGACAAAACACTCACAAATTGTATTAAAACCTTATTTCCCACAATTACGTTCCAATCCCATGCAATAAGAAACGAGTCTTGTATGCAATTGAACTAATATAAATAGGGAATTTCATAGTATAAAACAAAGTCGCTTTCTCTGTCCCTTTATCCCTATGTACGCTTAAATCTTTAAAACTACGCAACGGATTTTAATGCGGTTTTTTCAATAGATAGAGTGATCAAAAAGGAAGGTTTATATGCATAATAACATTCATTAAATAGTTGTGAAATTTAGTATCAGTATTGCACTCGTGTGAAGGCGGGTCGAATCGCTAGTATATATTAAGAAAATTATTGCTATCGGATTTCGTTTATATATGTTAAAGTCCCTAAATACACTTAAAGACCGGATGGTCCCGTGAATAGAGAAGCCACGACACAAAGGTCTGAGTAAAAAATACAACAAAAATAATGAAAAATAAATAATAACAACCGTTTTACTCCACTGTACCATAAAGTTTTTGTTTCGTCGTCACTTAAAAAGTTTTGTGTGCTCAATGAAAATATCTATTATATAATATAATATTTTTATATTAAATACACGAGTGGCAGTATGTTTCACAGCCGACATTTTCGAAAAAAGATGGCCGTTTGACGTTTGACAGTTTTGACGTTTATGAAATGGATAGAATTGTTCTGCGATTTTAATTTATATTGTATGTTATTTAAATATTGAAGCCTTTTTCCCAGCAATGGCGATGTCGTTATCAAAGAGAGAGAGCCTATTAAAAAAAATAACAAGAAAAAAAAAAAACGTTTTTAGGATAGAAACAAGCATTTTTGAAAGTTAAAGAAATCAAAATGATATTTCTATCATTCGTTTAATAAAAGACACGTATTATGCACAGCATCGTGTCGAACAGGCGTTTCCCCCAAACATACAATATAAATGAAAACCACATAAATTCCTTTACGATCCACATTTCCAATTTAAGACCACCATTTTCCAAAAATACAGCTTTCCGTAAAGGCATCTATTTATACAGAGACAGGTGTGAAATAAAATAATAACGTTAACGTAAAAAATTAAGTATTTTCAACCTTAATCATCAACACGCAGACTCGCTCATTTTTGTTATTAAATTTCTCATAATAATAATCATCATCATCATCATCAACATCACCATCAAATCACCAGAACCGAATTTACCAGTCTTCAGCATTTTATACACACATTTTTTTTTAAACTTTAATCTATTTCTTTAATAATTTCACCTCTCCCATTTTATTTTTTTAACATGACGTTAACAAACTGTACAATTTTATTACCATGACTTAAAAAACGAAAAATGAGTCTAACAAATGACATTTCTTTTTTCGTATTTTTCGTAATTTTTCGTGTGTAAGAGATCCGAATAATGTGAACATCGATGAGTACGGTTGAGTTTGGTTGAGTGTGTCCCTCATTTGAGTAGAATGTAAACGAGTACAACTTTTAAATACTTATAACACTGAGTGACTAAAACTCATTTGAGTTCATTAATTAATAACACGACTTATACATACAAAACCCAAGTTGATACTCAAATACACTCATTAAAACTCATACTCCAAAGAAATTTTCGAAAAAAAATCACTAGTCGAGCCTCAAAAGGCTACATATCAAACTGGTGGTTCCAAATTCAAAATTCAAAACAAAATGCGAGGATGTCGATGTGGGCAGCACCAGAGTTGCCACAGATAAAAAATACTTAACCTACCAAAGACTACGACAGAACGTTTGTTTTCTTTTTAATGTCATTTGTATATTACTAGGACAAGTAAGTGTATGTCGTTATAATTTTAAATTTTATACAATGTCAAAAATATATACGTTTATATATATATATATGTTGGTAGTACATACTTACTCTAACTATTTAGATGTCAAAATGATAACGCGTGAAACAGAGCGTAGCGTTGCTTATTGTCGATGCATATAAGCTGTGGACAAACAAACGAAAAACAGATTAAATAAGTTTTTGAACTACATAAATACAAAAATTGTATCTGTAATTATCACGAAATTATTATAAGTTGTAAAGTATACTTATATGTATTATCCATCTTATCTTCAGAACTACTGATTTGAATTACAGAAAACAGACGTGAAATAAACACAGCGTTGTGTTTCGCCGTGTGAGTGATGTTACCGGGGGCGCAATCCCTCCCCCACCCCCATCCCTTCCCAATCCTTAAATTTGCGAAACCCTTATCCCTAAAAGGCCGGCAACGCACTCGTAACTTCTTTCGTGTCCATGGGCGACGCTGATTGCCGACACCCAAATATCCAAATAATATTATCAATGCGAAAGTTATTCTGTCTATCTGTCTTTTCTTTACGCCTAAACTCCTGAACTTATTTGTATGAAATTCGGTACAGACATAATTTGTAACTCGAGAAAGGACATAGGATAGTTTTTTAACCAAAAATCTGCAGGAAGGCACTATTCCACGTCGCGGCAAGGCAAAGCAGGGCTAGTATTTTAATAATTTATTGATTTAATAAACACTCTTAACTCTTTCGTTACGGGTGTCCATGGGCGGCGCTGATTGCTTACCATCAGGTAATCCGTCTGCTTTATATTTATTTGCCGACATATTACATAAAAAACAAAATATATAAAAACGAATAAAACTTACCTAGTCTCCGTAAATAACCAACGAGCAACGTTAACCAACTCTAAGTGTCCAGGCACTAAATATTATATATTTGTCTCATATATATATGTATAGAATATAATATAATAATAAAATGCATTCGACATATAACTGTTACTGCCGGTGATTAAGCACTTTGCACTTTAATGTCTTTCTTTATATATTTATGTACACATTGTGAATCACTGTTTGGCTGCCAACTGTTTCGGCTCTCCGCTGTCCTGTTTTGTTTTTGGTGTTGCTGTGGACAATAATTTTGGAAATTAGTATTATTATTTTAAATCTATATCTATACTAATATTATAAAGAGGTAAAATTTGTAAGTTTGTATGTAGGGGGTAATCTTTGGAACCGCTGGTCGGATTGCCAAAATTCTTGCACTGATAGATAGCTGCAATGTTCCTGAGTGCCATAGGCTATAAAACATCACGCTACGATCAAATGAACCACGCGAGAAGCGACTTTTTATTTTTCTTTTTTAATAGCATATAATTGTAAGGGAACATCATAAAATAGCTTATTTTGCTCTGGGTGAAGCGAGAGGAGATGTCAGACTCTTACTGACTAAAAACCTCCCTGTTCCTTCTCTGGCTGAGGTCGCGGTGCCTCATTGCGCTTACAACGCAACCCCGGCTGAACACCAGCCCTATAGGGCCCCGTCTGTGGTGGTCTATTGGCTCTTTGAGGCGCGCGCGGAACGCTACGCGCCGTACGCTCGGGTCTGGGTTCTGGTCGGGCGGCAAGCTACTCTTACTCGCCGTCCACAGACCCGCGCTCTAGGTGGCCGGAGATCGTCTCGCGAAGATGGTGTATATGGTAGTGGAATAATGTAGTAGTGTCATACCCCGGGGTCGCGCGGTGGCGACGACGCTCTGCGCCCCGCAGGAGCCGGCGCGGCCGCGGTTGGTGGTCGCCGCCGGACGCGCGCTGCTGCCTTGCTTACTGCCGGGGAAACATAAGTATGGGTTAATAAGATCCGTCGACTATTTCGTAATGAACTAACGGAAGATGCCATCAATTATTGCGATAATGGACGTTAATCGCAGGTGTAATTTGATCGTGAAGCAAATCAAGGTATATTTTTGATCTTTAATATCATCAATACGTTAGTTTCCAACTAGTCAAATTCAATACTTTGTTTACTTTTTCAATTGTGAACAATGACCACAGCGGATGTAACCTTGCCGAAACGTCGAATAATTTTCTTAAAATAATAATAATTTAGGTATTTATATTTCAAAAATACACATTACAAACAAAACACTATGCACTAATATAGGTTCACAAAAAAAAATTGAGCACTGTTACTCAAGGTAAGTTTCTTGAGTTTTGACTACCAGGTGGTCCACCTCGCAATTTTAATAATCTTATACATAAAAAATGAAACGTTGTTCGTTAGTCTCGCTAAAACTCGAGAAAGGCTGGACCAACATGGTTGATTGTGGTCTTAAAATATTCCTGGATATACCGGGAAGGTTTAAAAGGCGAAAAAAAGAAAAAAAATTGGTTGCCTGTAAAATACGGGCGAAAGTTTTACGTGACAACGACTTTCAGTGGTAAAATAATTTTAACGTGAATATTCATTCGTATATGTCTGTCTCTCTCGCTCTTAGGCGGGCGTGGAAGGGACGCGTGCCTCTCACTCGCTCTCATTGTGAGCGCATAACGTGAGCGGAGCGTAACGCAGTTTCTTGACGTGTCAACCAGCAAACCAATTTATAAGACGTTGTCACGTCAAAAAAGTTCAAAATTCTTTCACTGATAGATAGCTACAATGTTCCTGAGTACTATATGCTATACAACATCACGCTACGAAGCGCGCGACAGTAGGTAGTAGAGTATATGTACCTGGCGTGTCCGGCGAGCGCGGCGGCGCGGTCGCTCTCGGAGACGGAGCGCGACAGTAGGTAGTAGAGTATATGTACCTGGCGTGTCCGGCGAGCGCGGCGGCGCGGTCGCTCTCGGAGACGGAGCGCGACAGTAGGTAGTAGAGTATATGTACCTGGCGTGTCCGGCGAGCGCGGCGGCGCGGTCGCTCTCGGAGACGGAGCGCGACAGTAGGTAGTAGAGTATATGTACCTGGCGTGTCCGGCGAGCGCGGCGGCGCGGTCGCTCTCGGAGACGGAGCGCGACAGTAGGTAGTAGAGTATATGTACCTGGCGTGTCCGGCGAGCGCGGCGGCGCGGTCGCTCTCGGAGACGGAGCGCGACAGTAGGTAGTAGAGTATATGTACCTGGCGTGTCCGGCGAGCGCGGCGGCGCGGTCGCTCTCGGAGACGGAGCGCGACAGTAGGTAGTAGAGTATATGTACCTGGCGTGTCCGGCGAGCGCGGCGGCGCGGTCGCTCTCGGAGACGGAGCGCGACAGTAGGTAGTAGAGTATATGTACCTGGCGTGTCCGGCGAGCGCGGCGGCGCGGTCGCTCTCGGAGACGGAGCGCGACAGTAGGTAGTAGAGTATATGTACCTGGCGTGTCCGGCGAGCGCGGCGGCGCGGTCGCTCTCGGAGACGGAGCGCGACAGTAGGTAGTAGAGTATATGTACCTGGCGTGTCCGGCGAGCGCGGCGGCGCGGTCGCTCTCGGAGACGGAGCGCGACAGTAGGTAGTAGAGTATATGTACCTGGCGTGTCCGGCGAGCGCGGCGGCGCGGTCGCTCTCGGAGACGGAGCGCGACAGTAGGTAGTAGAGTATATGTACCTGGCGTGTCCGGCGAGCGCGGCGGCGCGGTCGCTCTCGGAGACGGAGCGCGACAGTAGGTAGTAGAGTATATGTACCTGGCGTGTCCGGCGAGCGCGGCGGCGCGGTCGCTCTCGGAGACGGAGCGCGACAGTAGGTAGTAGAGTATATGTACCTGGCGTGTCCGGCGAGCGCGGCGGCGCGGTCGCTCTCGGAGACGGAGCGCGACAGTAGGTAGTAGAGTATATGTACCTGGCGTGTCCGGCGAGCGCGGCGGCGCGGTCGCTCTCGGAGACGGAGCGCGACAGTAGGTAGTAGAGTATATGTACCTGGCGTGTCCGGCGAGCGCGGCGGCGCGGTCGCTCTCGGAGACGGAGCGCGTGCGGTCGTAGGGCCGCGCGTGCGGGCCGCGCCCGGGCGCCGCGGGGCCCGCCGCCGCCAGCAACTCGTTCAGCTGCGGCTGCAAACATATACCAACGTTAACATCATTTATATCAATTACACCCTTACAGACATTTCTTAACATCCATAAAAACTTAGAGATAAAATACCACAGTCTATAGATCAGCAATATACAAAAAATATATGGGAAGACTAACAATAACTAACGAAATACTTCAACTAAAACCCCAACACTAAAAAAATAAGCTTCCTTTAAAAAGTATATAATACAAAAAACTTAATTGAAATAGTTTCATCCGTTCAGAAGCTATGATGCCACAGACATACAGACAGACACGTCAAACTTATTAAAGTTTTTGTATTTTGTGACGTCCAAGTCATAACCTTTCATTTGATACCCCATTTGAACATATTTGCAAACATTCGGTTTTTCTTCCCCACTTTAACCCCCCATAACATTTAAAAGGCTCAATCGATATTCATCAAACATGTCTAAGTACACTCGCCCGTAAAACACCTGTAATATAAAAAAACTAAATTGAAATCGGTTCATACGTTCAGAAGCTATGATGCCACAGATAGACAGACAGACACGTAAAACTTTTAACACCCCTCTTCTTGCGTCAGGGGTTAAAAAAAATATAGAGCAAATCAAATTGATTACCAAAATATAATTTTTTTGTTAGTTTGTCCATTTATCAAGAAAGGCTGTAATACATTATGGTACTGTAGCTGAGCCGAGCAGCGAGTAACACCACGCATGAGTGGCTAATATTTTATATAAATACATTAGAATTGTCGCGTCACCACTGCACCCGTCCCGCGCAGAGCGCGTCAGTACGGAACGCCGAGCGACTCGGTCACTGTAGCACTCACATTCGCAGTAACTGCACACGACACACTGCCGTGTACAGTGGACATATAGTGCAGAAACTACATATGTCTAACACCCGGTTTCTGAAAGGCTTGTCAACGCTTAAATTAACTAATCTCCTGTTAAATCTCTTGTCAAGTCATCTGATTGGTTGACTGAATTATCAGCAACCAAGACAAGAGATTAAATTGATTTTAACATTGATCGGCCTTTTGAAAACCGGGCGTTAATGTCTCAATCATATCAAAACATAGTCTTATAAGTTTGAAATCGCTAATCCGACCAGATTTCCTTTTCGGGGTGCCTTAATAACCAGACCACGACTTACTCGCCGTCATGAGTGAAAATGCGTATTTTAAACCTGGCAAGTACCAATCTGACTCTTGACTTGACTTTCTGAGTTATAAGTACTTTCTAAAATTATTTACGGTGAAGGGAGACATCGCCAGGAAATCTTGACACATTGTCATCATGTGATCTTCAGATTTTTTTTTATTTATCACTTATTTTCTTTTATTTCTTATAAAAAACATTGCCCCATACTAGGATTTTCTCCTGTGTCGTGTGTGCGTTTATAAACTGTATACAAATTCACATACACTACACAACACACCCAGACCCGAAACAGCAATTTGTGGATCACACAAACTGTTGTTCCGTGCGGGAATCGAACCCGCGACACGTTGCACAGCAGCCAGTTGCCCAGCCACAGCGCAAGCAATTGTAAGTCAAGAGTCAAGAGAATAAAAAAATCCAAACTTATAAATGCGAAAGTAACTCTATTATTTATTATTATTATTAAATAAAACTCTGTCTGTCTATCTTTCTTCACGCCTAAACTACAGAACCGATTTCTGTGGAATTTGGAACAGACATAGTTAACAGCTCGAGAAAGGACATAGGATAGTTTTCACTTAACCGATTTCTGTGCAGTTTGGTACAGACGTACTATGGAACTCGAGAAAGGACATAGGGTAGTTTTTATACAACAAATCTGCAGATAGTCACTATTCCAAGCGAACGGCCGCGGGCAAAAGCTAGTATTAAATAAACTACTGACTCACCTCAAGCACCCTAAAATCTTCGATGCTCTGGAAGTTCTCCAAATAGCCCTTTAGCTTGGGGTCGACCTGCAGCGCTCCCGCGTGCTTGTAATATTTCAGGAACGCCCAGAACTTCTCTAAGCCGTACAGCTGACCTGTTGGTACATAAAAAATAGACATATTTAGTATTTGTCTGTACAAAGTAGATGGATGAAGTTTCCTAGGTCAAAAAAAAAATAATTCGACGTTTCAATACAATAAAATATTAAAAAATAACTATACTTTTATTCATTGATCGATCGATACACTAAGTTTTAGATATTTTTAAGCTAATTTTTAAAAAATAAGTAAGCTATTTGACGCAAAAATACTATAAGGTCATAACTCAGTTTTTCATACAAATTTCATAGAAAAGTATCGTTTTTGACGTTTGGATAAAAGTATTGAATTTGACTAGTTGGAAACTACCGTATTATTGTTTTTCTATTGTGTTGTTTGGTTAAAGGCTTCATATAATTTGACTTACCCTTCTCGTAATCAGCAACAGTTTCCTGTTGGAAGTGTTGGTAGAGTTCCGGCCGGAACTTCCTTTCGAGTCCGTACGAATAGAAACGGAACAGACACTCTAAGCCGTAACGGAAACCGGCCGACGCGTCCTCGTTGGCTAGCGTTCTGGAAGTGACACATTTTATTGTAGCATAATAATTTTTATAGAAAAAAAAAATGGTGATATAGTTATAAACTATAAGATCTTAAGCTGTTCTTTTTTATTTAAATTAAACGTTGGTTGAAAACACACTAGGATTTTTTCAAATGTCGTGGATGCGTTTACAATCGTACTATTTCACATGCACATCACACCCAGACCCGAAACAAAAATTTGTGGATGACACAAACTGTTGTTCCGTTCGGGAATCGGGGACTTATAATTTCTAATTATAAGTTTAAAATCGTCAATCCGCCTTGAAGGAGCGTCGTGGTTAATGCTCAAACTTTCACCGTGTGAGAAGAGGCCTTTGCTCAGCAGTGGGCACTTATAGGCTAATGATGTTATATGATGAGACTTAACAAAAGCCTTATAGGTGTTAATTGAATATGTTATTGATGTTGAAGGTGAAACTTACCTGAATTCATTATACATGGTGCGATTAAAGTGGTCACGTAGGAAGAACGACCAGAATCTGAACAAAGTGTTCATTTCTTGCGATTGGCCTATGCCCAGCTTCTTGCGTTCTGTAAGCAATTTAAATGTTATTGTTAATCTTTGTATCATTGTTTTTTATAATTGAAATGAACCATCAAAGAACGCTAACTTTTAAGGAAGACAAACATAGATGTTGGATTTTTTTAACGTGAATGTCGGCAAAAGTGTGGGAGAGCCATGCTTCGGCACGAATGAACTAGCTCGACCGGAGTGATACCACGGCCTCACAGACAACCGGCGTGAAACAACCACAGCGTTGTGTTTCGCCGTGTGAGTGAGGTTACCGCACGCACAATCCTTTCCCTCTCCCAAGCCCTCCTCAATCCCCAAATCCTTAATCCCTGAAAGGTCGGCAACGCACTAGTAACTCCTCCGTTGCGAGTGTCCATGGGCGGCGCCACCCGTAAAACCAAAGGAGTTACGAGTTGGTTTCCGGTATTTTAGGGATAAGGGCTTCGGAATACAACGCTGTGGTGGTTTCACGCCGGTTTTTCCGTGAAGCCGTGGTATCACATTTGTGGCGAAGCATGGCTCTCCCACACTTAAAGTAAGAAAAGGACGTACTGGAAAGGTCTTTTATGGGACCAAAGTATTAACGATGTGTGTTTCCTATTGTGTGATCCTTTGGTCGCTGAAACTAGTAGAATATACTAAAATATAGTTTACCTTTAAGACAGCGCGAATGGTACTTGTGGTATGCTTGTTGCGTAAAGTGGTTCTCCCGGAGTAGGCCGTGGCTGGGGTGGTGGAACGTCGGCAGGGACGCAGGGACTGACCCGCAGGATGACCCCAGCGTCGGGGACGTGCCTACTGACGATCTGGAAGCGAAAGGAATAATATATTAGTGAATGAACTGACTTCGGATACAAATAGTTGTTGAGTTCAAACCCTTTTCTATACTACTTAATATTATAAAGAGGTAAAATTTGTAAGTTTGTATGTAGGGGGTAATCTTTGGAACCGCTGGTCGGATTGCCAAAATTCTTTCACTTAGAGATAGCTACAATGTTCCTGAGTGCTATAGGCTGTAAAACATCACGCTACGATCAAATGGAGCCGCAGCGGGTGAAACAATGTGAGAGTAGCTAGTATTCATATGAAGTATATTTTTCTTCATTATGAGGAGATATTTACCTTATCTAACTAAAAACTTGACATATCTAAATAATGACTGACGGTTGCCGCGATGGCTGGGCAACTGGCTGCGGCGCAACGTGTCGCGAGTTCGATTCCCGCACGGAACAACTCCATATGTGACTCATAAATTGTTGTTCCGGGTCTGGGTGTAATGTGTATGTAAAATTGTATGTTTGTAAAAGCACGATTTAAAAAAAATGCCTTCTTGTCAAGTTTCATAATGATACATTAATAACAAGTGCGTGTAATTTACAGATCCATAGATTGGATAATTCGTAAGATAATCGATAGGTGGCGCAACATCCGAAAATAGTCCATTCTCTTATTTTTAGACGGGAAAAATAATGTGGACTTCTCTCTCGAAAGGGAGTGTCTGAGCCTTACTTACTAGAACCCCTCCGTTCCTTCTCCTGCTCTGGGCCGAGGTCGCGGTGCATCATTGCGCTTACCCCGCAACCCCGGCTGAACATCAGCCCTATAGGGCCCCGTCAGTGGTGGTCTATTGGCTCTTTGAGGCGCGCGCGGAACGCTACGCGCCGTACGTCGGGTCTGTTCTGGTCGGGCGCCGAGTTACCCTTACTCGCTCGATCTCGATCATAAACAGGCGAGTTGGAAGGATAATAAGCCTCAATAGATGGCGCAGCTTTCGAATATAGTCTCATAAAGTAGAATGAACATACCCAGTACTATGCGTCCTTGCGCGATGCTCGCGTATGTCCATGATCCAGCCGACATGGTGCTCCACGGGCGGGTTGAGGCTGTGTCGCGTCTTGTGCTTACGGCTGCTTCTGTAATTAAGAGATGAGATTAAGCAGGTGACATTAGAAAATTTTATATATCAAGATCGGAAGGTCGGCTCGACCGCAGTGATACCACGGCATCACAGAAAATCGGCGTGAGTCAAGTACAGCGTGTGTTGCGCCGTGTGAGTGAGGTTACCGGAGGCCAAACCCTTCCCCTTCCCCAATCCCTAAATCTTTAATCCCCAAAAGGGGCGGCAACGCACTCGTAACTCCTCTTTTGTTGCGGGTGTCCATGGGCGGCGCTGATTGCTAACCATCAGGTAATCGATTTGCTCGTTTGCCGACATATTATATAAAAAATGACTTACATAACATCAGTGGCGTGTGGGTCCTTGCTAGCGGCGTAGAAACGAGCCGTGCGTCTCGGCCTTCGCCCCGTCCTGCCTTCCGTCGACGCTTCAGCCTGCTGTGACACCTTAGAAGTGAATATAAATATATTTTTTTTGTTGAATATGTATACACTCAAACTAATATTATAAAGCGATGTATATGATATGCAAAAGTAACTCTGTCTGTCTTTTCTTCACGCCTAAACTACTGGACCGATTTTATACCTAAAATCTGCAGGAATTCACTATTCCAAGCGAACAAATTTGCGGGCAAATAATTTGGAAATAAAAAATATTTTTTACTAGCTTTTAAATATGTACGTTGTACGTATTACAAAAATATTGAGGATAAGAATGCCTGGCAGCGTGTTGGTTCGGTTCCACTGGACAAAACTCAAATATAGTCAGTAGTTACTAAAATTTTCAAACGCAATGAATTCTTAATTTATATATCCAATGACTTTATATAGAAGCACTCTTAAAGATTGTGAGTACGCAAAATATGTGAGCGCCATGTTTGTTGTTTAAAATTTAATAATAGATCCCATTAATTGTTTTTTTTTACTTGTCTCTGCACAATTTGGAACGAGCACCTAGCTTCACTGACGAACAGACTGACAGACTACTATACAAATGGGACGTTTCAAAAGTACCTATATATGGTTAAGTTGGAATAAATGATTTTGACTTCGACTTAAAATTGAATGAAGATAAGATATTGATAATAGATGTATGAATGCAATAGAAAGAGTAGTTATAGCAACCTGCGCGGGCCTGGGCGGCGGCGGGGGCGGCTCGCTGGGGTTGGCGTGCTTCTCGCTGGGGACGGCCGCCTCGAACTGCTCGCGGCTGATCAGCGACACGCAGCGGTACTGCTGGCTGCCGTACGACTGCAGGGAGAGGGAAAAAATTGGAATTACACTAAGTTTTAACCTCTAGTCTACCGGTATATAAAACACAATAGCGAATAGATCGGGTCTCGCATATATTGATTTAACACTTTCTATACATAAAAAAAAAAACATACAAGGACGGACTTAATGCCCAAAGGCATTCTCTACCAGTCAACCTCAAGGTTGATGCAGAAATGTGATAAAAATAGGTTCTAAATAAAATATATCTAAATAAATATATCTGCCGTTCCATCCTCATGCTGTCGCTCATATCACGGGTTATTCCCTGAGTGTGTACCCAGGCACACGAATACAATGGAACACTCACTTAGCACTTACCATAAGGCTCTTGATGTTTTTCAACAACAAATGAAGAAAGTTTTAAGTATGAAAGAGTCAATGGTCGACTCGACAGAAGACATATCAAAGCCTCACAGAAAGCCGGCGTGATACCGGAGACCCAATTCTTCATATCCCATTCCCCTCTAATAACTAAATCTCCGACACCCTAATCTCCAAAAGGTAACTCCTCTAATGTTGCGAGTGTCCATCGGCGGCGCTGATTGCTTACCATCAGCTGGAGGTAATGTAGAAAGAAAAGTATCAACTTACTGAGGGATAATCCGTATCATTCCATAAGTCTTCTTCATATCGTCTAAGCCCATCTGTTATAACCTGGAAACAAATAAAGACATTTACTTAAAGCATTTTCATTTATGAAACCTTTAAAAAAGAAAGATATTATAAGATGATATCATTTTTTTAAACTATTATTTAGGGTTGATTTGTCAATAGTCAAATAAATGTTATCTGAGGAATAAAATTGTTGCTGTCACTGTCTTATACAAACATTCTGACGCGACAGCATCATAATTATTCCCCAGGTAACTTTTAAAATATATAAAAAAGAGTTGTTCTGTGCGGGAATCGACTGCGACACGTTGCACGGCAGCCAGTTGTCCAGCCACCGCACCAACTGTACATTCAGTGCTGACTTCAGGGCCACTGACACCTCGGGCGAAAATTTTGTGGCGCCCATTTAAGGGAAACAATATCAAGTGATAGGTTTTCCTAATCCCAAGTAAAAAAAAAATATGCATATGCACAGAGCGTAGAGCACAGTCCTGAGGGTCTGCACCAGGAGAGACAAGAGACTTCAACTTTAGGCCTTGGCGCCCCCCAGAATTTATCAAGTCAAGTATGATGGAATTGGGTAGTTTCCAAGGTCAAAAATAAATTAATTCGACGTTTCAATACAATAAAATATTGAAAAATAATTATATTTTCATTCATCGATCGATCGATACAAAAAGTTTTAGATATAATTAATTATTAAGAAATAAGTAAACTATTTAACGCAAAAATGGTATGACGTCATGACTCAGTGTTTCATACAAATTTCTAAGAAAAGTATAGTTTTTGACATTTGTATAAAAGTATTGAATTTGACTAGTTGGAAAGTACCGTATTGTGGATCCGTATGTATGTATGTACCTGTTCGAGGTCCTGCGTGATCTTGGTGCGCGTGTTCCAGTCCCCCTGGCGGTCGTGTCCGTCGTGCTTGGGCTGTCGCGCGGCCGTCTGCGTCACGATGAGCAGGCGGCCCACGTCGCGGTCCGTGAACTCCGCGTCCGACTCCTCGTCCGACCTGTCCATACAAGGGGAAGATATTGCATCGCCATACCCATCGTACATATTCCAATTTGTTAAAAAAGGTAGTTTCTTTTTAATTAATTAGATACGCTTAAATTTTTATTTTGAACGCGAAAGTAAATCTTTCCACTATAGTTTAGGAAACATTCCTGAAATAAAATACATTTTGGTATCATAAAAGATTTTTTTCCAGTACGCCGTTTTTGTCTCTAGTGTAATGTGATAGTAAGTCATGATTTGTCATAACAAATCCTTTAAACTTGCTGCGGGCGTCCATTGGGCGGCGCCGATTGCTTACCATTAGGTTATGCGTCTACTCGTTTTCCAAAAAAAGGATTGTTTTAATTTTGTAAGGAGTTGTGACAAGAATTTTTAAATCGATTTTTAGGTTTTTGATAGATTCAATTCAATTCAAATTAGAATTTTTGTTAATTTAATAACAGTGTAAACAAAGCAGTAAACAAGCAGACAGGATAACTTCTGTCATAATCTGCTCTTCTAATCATCAGCAAAGGTATCTCAAGAGAATTCCTGATCTAGAAAGTATAAAGGTCTCCGGTAACAACTTTCATCATGCGGCCATAGTATAACAAATGAAAAGACATATTTTTCAGACCTCTCTGCCCCAGTCAATTTCATATGTGTAATTTCTAGTGGGAGAACACACCCGAGTCAAGTGTGGCGTAAGTAATAATATGAATTGGCTTACCAAGCATCAGTGAACGTATTATGCCTGGGCGGCGGCAGTTCCAGTTCCTCATCGAGCTGGAAGTGTAACTCCTCGCGGGGTTCCTCCTCTGCCGCGGCCGCCGTACGCTCGCGGGAACCCGCCTTCGTACGCCGTTTCACCTGTAAATACGATTTAAAGGTTAGTTAATATCGTTCAAAAATGTCGTGGCCCGGAGGTTAAGGCGCCCGCTTCTCATGTGGCCTACTGTGGTCTAATTGAAATAAATGATTTTGACTTTGACTTTAAGAGGCCTCCAGCTCTGGGTGGAACGAGAGGTATTGAAATTACTGACTAAAAGTCACTCCATTCCTTCTCCTGCTCCAGGGAGGAGCCGGAATACATTATACTGCGATATAATTGTATGGTAATAAATTGAAAATATTTAATTGTGACATACCTCAGTCCATACTTGTTCAGAGTTGGGGCTGATGGTTCCCGAGCTCGGTCTGTCGTCCAAACTGTCAGATTTGTCGTTGCACTCCTCTGTAAACATCACAGAAGATACAATTTATAATTTTATTTAACAAAAAATCTATACTTATGTAATATAACTAGCTACTCTCGCGCGGTTTCACCCGCTGCTCGACTCAATTTGATCGTAGCGTGATGTTTTATAGCCTATAGCTCTCAGGAACATTGTAGCTATCTATCAGTGAAAGAATTTTGGCAATCCGACCAGCGGTTCCAAAGATTACCCCCTACATACAAACTTATAAATTTTACCTCTTTATAATATTAGTATAGATAAAGCTGTAGAGTTACTTTGTTTGTTTAAACGCTCTAATCTCCGGAACTACTGGTTCGAATTTAATAATTGTTCTTGTGTTCTTCTTTTTTTAAAAAACATTGCCCCACATAAGGATTTTCTCCTGTGTCGTGGGTGCTGTTACAAACATACATTTTCACATACACAAGACACCCAGACCCGAAACAACAATTTGTGAATCACACAAAGAGTTGTTCGGTGCGGGAATCGAACCTGCGACACGTTGCACGGCAGCCAGTTGTCTAGCCACCGCACCAACCGTGCAGTCATAATATATTCGTTGGTCCATTTATCAAGGAAGGCTATACGCTATAAAACAACACGCTACGAGCAGCGGATGAAACCGCGTGAGAGTATCTAGTGTATGGTTGTATATTTTAGTTAATAAATAAAATATAATTTAGCTTACCATGTCGTAAAGCAAGCGGCACGAACTCCGGGACGTCAGGGTTTAGCGAATCGTGCGCGGCCGCTCCGCCGGCCAGCCCGCCGCGACCCGTACGAAACATCCTGAACGAAATAGGACAAAAAACTTTATTATAAAACTGCTTAACATTATTAATGGCTACATTTTCTTTAACAGATTAGAACTAGAAGCTTCAACCTTCCTAGGTCAAAAATAAATTAATTCGACGTTTCAATACAATAAAATATTGAAAAATAACTATACTTTTATTCATCGATCGATCGATACACCAAGTTTTAGATATTTATTAGCTAATTATTAAGAAATAAGTAAGCTATTTGACGCAAAAATACTATGACGTCATAACTCAGTTTTCCATACAAATTTCATAGAAAAGTATCGTTTTTGACATTTGGATAAAAGTATTGAATTTGACTAGTTGGAAACTACCGTATTCGTAAATATTTCACTTAGTCCCTACTCTAGTTTCGAAACCAACAAGGTTGACACTTAAACAGCTTGTAGTAGAACTTTTATCAGTTAATTCAAGCAAGTAAGTCGTTATTCATTTCTTATGCATCAACCATTATTACGACCAAAAAAAAAATACTGAACATTTTTTTCTCTTCGACTAGCTATGCATTATTCATTTTAAATTCGGATTTCATTTGTATAAACTACGAACCATGAAACGGGCGCTAATTTGATAAATTTTGACGTAAAGTAATTACTATTTATTGCAAAACCTCCAAACTACTTATGTAGCAAAATAACAATTCTATTACTTAGAGTTCCGGTCAGGCTAGAAATTAATCGGGCAACCCCAAAACTCACTAGTCGACTGACCATTACAACATTTAGTACCGCCTCTTCTTGTATATTCTTATTATTAATACAACAGAATTGTCGCGTCACTACTGCACCCGTCCCGCGCAGAGCGCGTCAGTACGGAACGCCGAGCGACTCGGTCACTGTAGCACTTACATTCGCAGTAACTGCACACGACACACTGCCGTGTACAGTGGACATATAGTGCAGAAACCAATTAAATATTTAAAAACATATAATGTTTCTTTATTTCTACGAATTACAATACATCATAAGCTAGTAGACGAAATAAAAACACCTTATATGCTAAAATTATTAATCTATATATATAAAAGAAAGTCGTGTTAGTTAGACTATTTATAACTCAAGAACGGCTGAACCGATTTGGCTGAAAATTCGTGGGGAGGTAGTTAAGAACTGGGAGAAGGACATAGGATAGAGTAGGTAGTGCAGGTTAGGTAGAGTAAGGTAGGTAGAGTAGGGTAGGTAGAGTAGGGTAGGTAGAGCAAGGTAGGTAGAGTAGGGTAGGGAGTGTAGGTTAGGTAGAGCAGGGTAGGTAGAGTAGGGTAGGTAAAGTAGGGTAAGTTATAATATAGGGCTATGAAATTATATGAAGGAACGTACCTGGGTAACGGTGGCGGAGGCACGGCCCTGAGGAGTGACGAAACAGGCGCAACAAGAGGCCCTCCCATCGTCGGCAGAGGGAATATGCCCACCATCTGCTTCTTACGGCTGTAAGGAACAAGTATAGATTATGTTTAGGCACGTTATAAGGTCGTAAACCGTCACTGGGTATGGGTAACTTCCAACTGATCGATCTGCAAGTCTTTTGGGAAAGCCTATTTGAGACAGTAGACTTGTTGTGGCTTTTTGAAGGAGAAAAGTCATAAAATGTCTTTTCTCCTGCCCTGGTTATGTAGTATAGGTAGTGTCAGACTATCCAAACTAATAAGTATTATAAAAGCAAAACTAACTCTGTCTTTTCTTCACGCCTAAACTACTAGACCTATTTGTGTGAAATTTGGTACAAACATAGTTTGGAACTCGAGTATACAAGTTGTCGTAAACAAAAGTTGTTCAAGAATTCCTATTCAAACTAATTTTATTAAGTTTCGGGTCTAATTCGAATAAAAATTGTGTTAATTTTGGGTGCCAAGTAAATGTAGAAGAAAACTCTTCGACTTTCGTTTTTTGCCAAAACAATGATAGATTCCTTAATAAACTAAACATAATTAACTAGCTATTCTCGCGCAGTTTCATTCGCTGCTCACTAAATATTGTTTAAAGAATTTTTTTTCAGTAAACTTCGAATCTTAAAATACCGGATTTTTTATTCGAACATCTCGAAGCTCTTTTTCTATACTTCTTTTTCTAACTCGGCATTCATTCTAGACTGAACTTAATACAAAATCAAGGTTGACAGATTCCTTAAAAAAAAAATCTCCTTACCGTTTTTCGCCTGGCTTCTCCTCGTTGCTCTCAGACTGGAGAGGCGGATCGTCAGCGGGGTCTACTGACTTATCGCTTTCATCTTCTGTCGCTTCCTTCTTCTGTTCTGGAGAATCTAAGATTGAAGCCGAAACTTCTGGTTCTTCTGGTTCTTTTATTTCTTCCACAGTAGCCGGTGGTTGTGACGGCTGTTGTTGTGTCTGTGAATATTATTGAAATTTTTGACTCGTGTCTTTTTTCGTAGGGCAACATTTTGGGCTTAATACCTTTTGTCTATAGGCAGATTTAGTTATCATAATTAGACAAAGATCGATGTGAAATGTTTGTAAACAAATTATAAATAGATGAATATCGTGCTATGCTCGTCATTTATACGAGACCCGGGTTAGCCTCGAAACTTGACTAATTATCTCGTTAAACAAGTTATTTGAGTAAACACTCATTCATTATACCTCTCAAATATAACAAGGGTTATATATATCTCTTTACACTTAGAATGCAGGGATGGGTTAAAACTGAACCAAAAACTTAATGCACAGCACTTAGAGTAGAATAATCATCAATTAGGTAGTTTCCTAGGTCAAAAATAAATTAATTCGACGTTTCAATACAATAAAATGTTGAAAAATAACTATAGTTTCATTCATCGATCGATCTATACACTATATTTCTGATATTTTTTGCTAATTTTTAAGAAATAAGTAAGCTATTTTACGAAAAAATAGAATGACGTCATAGCTCAGTGTCTCATACAAACTTCATAGAAAAGTATAGTTTTTGTCATTTGGATAAAAAAAAGTATTGAATTTGACTAGTTGGAGACTACCGTATTACTCATCAATTCGCGCGCTCTGTCTCGCTTTATTTACTGACAGTTCTGAGTGATGACAAAACGATACAAGCACAGCGCACTACTGTTTGCTGTGGACAGATGTACTCTTACCTTTGTGCTTTGTTTGGGAACATTTCACATCGATCTTGGACTAAGTTTTAGAGTTAAGATTTTGACACAATTTGTAAGGAACTCAATACTCTTAGATAGATATTGTAAATTAAAGATTGGTCGTAGAAATATAAAAGTTATAAATTGCCGCACTCAAAGACATTTAATAATTACCTAAACTTTTAACTAAGACCCTCAAGCGCGGGCGATTATTATTATTATTTAATTTCAAAGACGGAAATAAAAGACACCAACACCCGGTTTCCGAAAGGACGATCAATGTTAAAATCAATTTAATCTCTTGTCAAGTCATCTGATTGGTTGACTGAATTATCAACAATCAATCAGATGACTTAACAAGAGATTTAACAGGAGATTAGTTAATTTTAGCGTTAACAAGCCTTTCAGAAACCGGGTGTAAGTCGCCATCTCTAAGAGTATTACAAAGGATTGTATTAAGTAATCATTAAATGATAACGATTCTGAGTGCGACTGTAAAACATTTAGGGCAGATTTTTCAATAGTCAGATAAATGTTATGTGAGGAATAAAATTGTTGCTGTCACTGTCTTATACAAACATTCTAACGCGACAGCATCATAATTATTCCCCAGGTCACTTTATCTAACCATTGAAAAATCAGACCTTATAATGTTGCATAAAGCGAAACTTTAAGTTGTATAGTTAGCTAAAGTTTTTCAAAGCTAACTATACAATTTTTGCGAAAATAAGCAGAAAAATCTGCGTAAGCCAACAAAGACAGTGATATTGACACATACATGCACTAATTATTATTACTTACTATAACTTCGACATATAATTGTATGCGCGTGACAAATAAAAGCCATATTTTGATACACATATAATTGAAAAAATAATACCTTGTCGTGTGTTGTATGTTGGCGACAAACTCAAAAACTACTAAACGGATTATCATGCAATTTGCATACGTGCATAGTGATGTTTGAATAATTATTTTTTTGAAGGTCGAGCTAGTTAATTTCATAAAAATGTCTATTTCATTTAATATTTTTGTTTTACGTTTAATACATCTATTGTGAGCGTGAAAGATAATAAATTAACAGTTGGCTTTGAGACGTCTTGCCCTGTTCAATGCTCATGCATATGGGCCCCGTTGTAACTCGAAAGTAGTCGAGCTTTTCTCGAAAAGCGTGTAAGTCGTATATTTCAATATTTTTTTATATTTTCTCGTGTACAACACATATTATAAGTAATAGTTATAGTAATATAATAAAAAAAATGTATTCTACTTTATCGAAGCGTCAAACTATTGAGTGTAGACGCTCGCGAATTGAGAAATTTACTATCCCCTGTCGTAGTGGCCTTTTTCAGTATTTAACACTGAAAAGGTAAGAATACAGGGTTGATTTTAGGCACGGCTGAAAGTTCTGAACACTTATTGATGTTTAATTATTACTAAAATTATCGATTTTGTATCAATAACCAAGAACAGACACGCGGTGGTATATTGAGCCAATTTCATATTTTATATACATATATTGTATACATAAACATTCTTCTAAACAAATTCAAGGACGAAAACATATGACAAATCGCTAGGAAACTTTAACACAACATCAAGCTTCTATCCTAAAAGAGAATAAACTAGAAGAAGACAGGTGTAAAAGTCATTTTTCGAGAAGAGAATAGAGAAGAAAAGAGACACAAATATCTATCTGTCTTACAAACAAAAAAAAGGGTAAGATGATAGGGTATGAAAGTAAAAAATCTATTGAGTACGCCATTTACCTAGATAAAAAAATAGACACGTTTTTTTAATCTGTCGAATAACAAACATACTTCGTTTTTCGATACTTTTTCTGCCGCCAGGCGGCGCGTCATATGCGTTAAGTGCAAACAGCTACCGAACGTATCATTTTTCGTATTCATCGTAAAACAAACGAACAAGTGTGAATTTTTTTTAAATATTATTAGTAAAAAAAATTTGGCAATGTCAAGTACCTAATTTTAGACGACAAATAGACACAATAACATCGATAAATAATAATAAAAAAGGGACATACAATACGTACAGTCAGGGGTCAAAAATGCAATTGCACTCTAAAATGACCAAAATATCTTTGTAGTATAAAGTCAACGGTTGAGGACTGCTTTAATTTATAGCAAATAATCTAAATTATTGAATAAACTGGCTGTGAACCATTGAACTTTTACTACAAAGAAATTTTAGTCATTTTAAAATTGGTAGAGTGTTATTGCATTTTTGACCCCTGAATGTACATACGTGCAAAATATTACGTAAAAGAACTCAATAACAATAAAATTTATGGAGGTAAAGATGCATATAAAATACAATTTCTACCACGAGAATACGAGTACATATATCAAACTGGAATAAAATTAAAAGCAATTTTGACAAAGCTACGTGGAGACTGACGAAAGGGCTTTTAAGAGATTTATACGTCTATTTCAATAGGATTTTGTATAGTTATTTATTCTATTTAGGGATTTTTCAGTTGAAATCCTATTTAGAGATTTTTCAGTTGAAAATAATGCATGAAAAAAACGTTAAAAATTATTTTTTCGTTATACTGGTAAAAACTTAAAAAGGAAGATGTCATTTTATCTAAATCAATCGATAAATCTGCTTAAATTATCGTATGATTATTCTAAACAGTAACATAGCGACCTCAATCTTCTAACCTTAAAATACATTTTTATCTAAATATACTATTAGTTGAGACTGAGACAAAATAAAAACGTATTTATGTTCAATTTATGTATTGTATAACTTGTTCGATTCTGAATTTTTCACTGCTTGCCGTTATACCTATTTCGTGTTGTGATAAAGGGTCTCAGTTTCAGGAGGAATCCTCAATATTGGATTGAGTCATGGTGACTTATTGCTTATATCATCTATTATTTTTTCCAATTGCCAAGTTGCAATTAAATGGACAAAATCCTTCGAAATAGACAATCTGTTGTATGTTTCGTATGCTGATTTTTATATAACTTCCAACTAGTTAAATTTGATTTAAAACCACTCCGGACCTACTCCTGCTCTATGCCGAAGCCGCCGACAGAATTGCGCTTAACCTGCATCCCCTGCAAGATACCTATACCTAATACCTGGGCCTCGAGTCTGCTATTACAATAGTGTCAGAGTAGTAGATCATTGGTTTCAAAATTGTTGATTTTGACAAGTTTGGTAATCTACTAACACAATAGCGTCATTATGACTTTCCAATGCCACTTCATTGAAATACTTCTTTAGAATGGTAATCTCGTACATAATGACAAATGAATATTTGACATAATGCGGTAAATTAATAAAAAAATGACAGTTCCTTTATTCAATGATTTACGTTTAGAATATTAATGCGCAGTTATTGTTTATAATTCGTTACAAGACATCTCGTACTATATTCTATTACGATATCGCCGAACGCCAATGATCAGCCATTTTGAATTAACAGATTACGAACTTTTAGCAAAATGACAATGGAATCGTGTAGGAATGACAATACTTTGAAAATAGTAGACTCGGCCCCCTAACCATACGTTTAGAAACTGTGAAACAAAAATACTTAAAACAACTTGTATCCCCGATTCATTTTACCAAGACTAACCTAAAATAAAAATGTGCATAAGAGGTCAGTTAATATTTAATCAATCCTTACTATAAACAAATTCACTAATATTAAATGAAGATTAAAAACCTTAATTATTATTATTACAGCTATTTCAAATCACTATATTAATAATACCTACATTTTAAACTTAAATAAATATCAGCATACAAAACGAAACAACGTCATAATCTCTATGAGACAGCCCACACATACAAATCATGCGACCTAAACGTGCTTACAGTTCGAAATTTAAATTTATGATGGCTGTGATTCGGTCAAGAAAACTTAAAAAACAAAATCACTCGGAGATATTAAACATTAAGGAAATAATGAACATTGCACAACTTTAAGTTGAGCAACGTTTCCGAATTATAATGTTGAACAATATGAATATTGCGCAATATGTACAGCCGTAGAGGTACTGTTATATTTTGTGTAAGCTACAATTCATTGAAAATAAAGACTCCCTCACGTTAATTAGCCGAAAACAGCTCTACTAGTTGACTGTGAATTTATGAGTAGCTTGTTTTTTCAATACATTTAGCAGATCCCACTATTGTTATCCCATAAAACAACGCATCATAAACAGTCCCGTTATGACTTGAAACTAGCGGATTTTTCCCTGTTCTTTCACGTCCATAAATCATAATTTTCAAATTGCGCAAATGTTGCTGCTATTCTTTAATAATAACCGCCATATAAACTTTAAATTTTAATATTGCGCAACAAACATTATACTCAACATTAATTAGCGCAACAAAACTATCGTATTGCGCAACATTTTTCAATTTCTTCGTATCAAATCACAGCCACCAAAACCAAGTACCTAAGAAAAAATCTAAACACAACGAGACATATTTAGATTTTGTTATAAAATTCAACGTACGGGGTCCATTGTATTGAGATACAAGAGTTGACAAGCGGCTGTATGTTGCCACATGACACAGGATGTTGCTGTTTCGCTTCGTGAAACATGACACATCGATCTGTGCGTCACGCGGCATTGTTGTATGCAGCAATGTTGCATGATGTTGCCTCGTTGTATACCCACGTTTACCTTAGATTTCCATAGTTTTCTCTTTTACCTCTTACCGTTTCATATTAAACGTACGGAATTCAACTATCATTTGTTTTTATTATGTAAATTTTAAATTGACCTTTTTGTGGGATTGTATTTTAAAGAATTTGGAGGTCAACTTATGTTGGTTATATCTAGTAGAAAAGTATTTCATAGAAATTGGAATTATTATATATTTTAATAACACAATTGAAATAACTCTTAGAAATCCTTATAAATATTTTAAAAGCGAGGATCCGTTAGTTGGTTTGTCTTTCGCTCCTGTCAATAAACTGTTTCTTATACATACTTTCATTCATTAATATTGATAGACTACTTTTACATTTGTTTTTTTTATTATTAACTAAAATCATTCCAATCTCTATAAAAACCTATTAATTATCTAAACGTAATCTTGCCATCTATTTCAATATACACATGTGCCTACCCGCTTAGAATATGGTAGCGTGATTACTCAAACCATTATAAAGGGGTTACCATTATTATCCAAAAATATTTTTTACTTTGCAACACTTGCATGTAATGAAACATCCTTTTTTACTTTGGCACTCTATTAAATATTATCTTTAATGGAAATGGTAACCCCAATCACATGCTTTAATTAATATTATGATATGGCAATACTGTTTATGTTAGGTTTATGGTAACAAGCTTCGTAAACAAGCCTAGCCTATTTTTATATGAGGCATTCAAGTGGATATACATCGTATGCGTTGAGTAAGTAAATTGTTATCACGCGTAGATCTCGAGGTATTAAATTAGATTTTTGTCTTTATTAATTCAAAGTAAGGTAAGTTTTCGAAAAGGACATATATCATCCATTGGACGGTTAGATAAAAGATATAAAAATTTAAAAAGCAACGAATTCAATTCTTTTTTAACATCGTAGGTATATCTAGATCATTCTTAGGTAGTATTCGATGAATAATTGTTACGTTTTTCGCTTACTCACGTACCTAATTATTTTACGACTAGCCTCCAGCATGGCTCTGCACTTCTTTCGAGTTCCTCGTCAAATAATTACGCGAGTAAGCCGAAAACATAATAATTAATTTAGTATGTCTCACGAAAGTTACAATAAAAATATAGTAAACGATGTTTCTTTATTTATTAATGTTCACATCACACTGTATTTCAATTTCTTTCTTCAGCCCTTCGACTGAAGTAATGTCAACACAGTGTGTGACAAGAAAAAACAACACGATGTTTGCTTTATGAAAACCATAAAAATTGCAAAAAACACACAGTGATACAATTGATTGATAAGTAGCAAAAATTTTTTTTCTGTGGAATATTAGGCAAACGCGCTGACGGATCACCTGATGGTAAGCGATCAGCGTCGCCCTTGGACACCTGCAACACCAGAGGAGTCACAGGTGCGTTGCCGGCCTTTAAGACGGAATACGCTCTTTTCTTGAAGATTTGAAGGTCGTATCGGTTCGGGAATACCGCCGCCGGAAGATCATTGCAAAGGTTATAAATTTATTTTTTGATAAATTTACTTTCTCAACACAAACGAATTCTAATGACATCCTCAACGTAATTCAACCGCCTCTCATAATAAAATGAAGGGTAAAAAAAAACAGAATTAAAAAAACGAATCACAAAACCACACAATTCTCAAAATATCCAAGATAAATTTTGAAAAACAATCAGTGTACTGTACAGCCAATTATTTTATATTCAAGCCAATAAGTAAACTCAGTTTGTTTAATATTTTAATTTGTGTTCAAACGACAACGATTTGCATCGCGTAAAATCACTTTTTACCGAGTGAAATAATACTTTCTTTTATGTAAGTATTGTGTACTTAATTCAAGAAAAAAATATAATTGATTATTAAATAAATACAATTCTATATAACATTATCAGCCTATAAGTGACCACTGCTGAGCAAAGGCCTCTTCTCACACGGAGAAGGTTTGAGCATCACACCACGCTTGCTCAAGGCGGATTGGTGATTTCAAACTTATAATTAGAAATTATAAGTCAAGGTTACCTTGTGGTTTTCCTTAAACAAATGTCAGTGATATCTAAGTAATCATAGAAACATAGAAAGTACATATAACTCGTAAAAAGTGTGTGTATGTTAAACTTTTTACTATTATTCAATTCAAGTAAAAGTGACATTCCTAATATAATTATGTTTTACCTAATAATTTATTTTATATTAATTTGGTAGTATTTTTTTTTAAATCTAATTGCAAGAGCAGAATTGACAAGTTGATTTTTACTTTCCACCGACCGGTAACAAGTAATTTTACACGCTGCCAATAAAGTAAACACTTTTACACCACGCCAATCACCAATAACATTCAAAAAGGACATACCTCGAATTTCTCAACGGTTGTAATAGTGGGCTCCTTGACGATATCTTCGAATTTCTTTTCTTCGACGGTCTCAGTTGTTGCCGTATTGGCTTCTATACTTGGAGCCTCCTCTTTGACGTTTTCTTTATCGGTATCAGCTTCAGGAGTCTTCGGTTTGTCTTCGGATGTGTTCGGCTGTTCCGTTTTATTATCATCTGGGTTTGTGTTCGCTGTTATGTCAAGAATCGGCCATTTTGTCGGTTCGAAGGCGGTTCTGACCTGTTGGGGAGGGATTTGTTAAGAAGTGATGCTATATAAGAGTATTTAATAGTAATGATGTCGACTAGACCTGGATGCGGAGGCTGGACAACCGGCTACCGTTCAACCTGTCGTGGATTTGGCTTCTATAGTAAACTCTTTGTGTGATTTTTTTTACTTGCAATAAACTAGTGCTTGACTGCGATCCCGCCTGATGGTAAGCAGTGATGCAATCGTTGATGGTAAGGCGCACTAGTTTATTAAGAGCCTATTCACTCTATTATTCACAATTTGTGATCCACAAATTGTCTGACATGTTTGTGAAATTGTAAGTTTGCTAACGCTCCCACGACACATGAGAAAATCATATTGTGTAACAATGTTTTTATTAGTTTTAATCTCATCGTGTAAGTTTTATTTTGCAGGTGAATGGTGTCCGCTTACCACCAGGTAAACCCATTAGCTTTATTGCTTATATGATTATTCTAAGTTTCTTCGAAAAAAATATGGTTTAGGGATATTTTAAAAAAAAAAGGTTGAAATATTAAAAATCAATTATAGTTTTAGTAAAACCAGGCGTAGGGTAGCCAGCCTATCTGTATCTAAGCATTTCGCTTCGTAATTCATACCACGCACATCTATGGATTGGAAAAGCTTGCCTGCTATGGTCTTCCCGTCCAGGTAAGATAGGCGTCTTCAAGGCTAGAGTGTATAGGATCTTAATAAACTAGTGCGCCTTACCATCAATGACTGCCTTACCAATCTTTTTATTCAGGTGTATTAAGTACTTTTATTTTGTTTTTTTCAATTTGTATTGTTTTCTTGTTAATCCTAACTAGTTTTTTTAAGTACCTAGATAATAGTATTTATATAAAATTATCAATACAATTTAATGGCGTAAGCTGTAATGTAATGTAAATATTCTTAATAAATAAATAAATAAATGATTCTCCATCACTGCTCACTTAAGCAATCCCTAAATGAGATTGCAGTAAACAGGTTGATATGATTAAAAAAATAATTATTACCTTGAACCCTCCAATAAGCTGCAACTTATCAGAGTCGCGGATAGCGTCAAGCACGAGTTGCACGTCCGCTGTGAGCGCCCTCACGCGGTGGAAGGAGGCAATGAGCGTGACGGGAATAGTTCCGTCCGCCGCCATCTTGCGGCGGAGAAAGAAATCGCGGGCTAAGTTGTCGGGGCTGAAGTAGTATTCGCTGTGGATAAATGAAAATTATTTATTAATATCATCTAAGACAAGCACATAGGCATCATAAAATTACTAATGGGTATTTAAGAAGCACAATACGCTAAGCTACGTTCGATATAAGTGTGGGAGAGTCAAGCTTCGACACGTATGGGTCGGGTCGGTTCGGCTCGGACGGAGTGATATCACGGCCTCACAGATAAGCGACGTGAATCAGCCACAGCATTGTTTTGCCGTGTAACACCCGGTTTTTGAAAGGCTTGTCAACGCTAAAATTAACTAATCTCCTGTTAAATCTCTTGTCAAGTCATCTGATTGGTTGTTGATAATTCAGTCAACCAATCAGATGAATTGACAAGAGATTAAATTGATTTTAACATTTATCGTTCTTTCGGAAACCGGGTGTTAGTGAAGTTATCGGAGGTCCAACAATTTAAGGTCCCCGATCCGTTCCCTGTCCTATTTGAAGCCTTTATACTCAAAAGGAAATTGCTTACCATTGGGTAATCCATATACTCATTTGCCGACCTATCTCGTGAAAAAATATGGGAATCCAACCCAACCTTCATTTTCCCCCATATTCTAATTAGCGTTTTGATAAAAAACATTATAATTGTCGCGTCACCACTGCACCCGTCCCGCGCATAGCGCGTCAGTACGGAACGCCGAGCGACTCGGTCACTGTAGCACTCACATTCGCAGTAACTGCACACGACACACTGCCGTGTACAGTGGACATATAGTGCAAAAACTAATCAAATATGTAAAATACATTTCTTAAATTTTAATAATCCAAATTCTGAAGTGAGAATAACCAGATTCATTTCGGACCACAACAAAACCCTCCCATCCTTAATCTTCAAATCTATACTAATATTATAAAGAGGTAAAATTTGTAAGTTTGTATTTAGGGGGTAATCTTTGGAACCGCTGGTTGGATTGCCAAAATTCTTTCACTGATAGATAGCTACAATGTTCCCGAGTGCTATAGGCTATAAAACATCACGCTACGATCAAATAGAGCCGAGCAGCGGGTGAAACCGCGCGAGAGTTGGTAGTCTATATCTACAAAAAAAATATGCTTACATTTGCTTCTTGATCAAATCCTTCAAGGTCGCGTGGTCCAGTCCCATCCCGTATGGAGTCGCTGTCGCTGCCGCCGCTCCGTAGTAGAAGGCCTGTGCCAATGGAGGTGCTAATGGAGCCCCCAACGCCGCCAGACCCCCGAAGGGTACCACCACCTGTGCGACGCTAGTTGCTGATACCCGAAGCTGCGTTGGGAGGAGGGGGAGGGGGGATATGAATTAGGTTGATGTGGTGATTAAATGTGAGTTTGTTGAGAGTTTTTTTACATTTAGTACTAAGTTATGAAAGGCGAGCCTGTTTTAAATTTTGGTTTAGCAGACAAATGTTCAATACATTTATCTGTTGAATATTAATCCAAACTAATATTATAAATGCGAAAGTAACTCTGTCTGTCTGTCTGTCTTTTCTCACGCCTAAACTACTGAACCTATTTGTGTTAAATTTGGTACAGACATAGTTAGGGACTCGAGAAAGGACATAGGATAGCTTTTTAACCAAAATCTGCAGACAGTCACTATGCCACGCGAACAAAGTCGCGGGCATCGGCCATCATAACAGGATTTTAGCTTTTTAACATTTTACAAATAACAAAATTAAATATGGTATCACAGCAACAGCAAGACATTAATTATTACAGATACTTTTCGCCAGTTTGTTTTTTATGAATTACATGTAAAAGCGAACAAATAGATAGGCATTGGCAATATGAATTGACTATACACCATTATGATGTTGCCACGTAATTTTATCGGGAACTAAGTATGAAGATTAATTAAAAACAACGCCTTAAGTAGATTAACCGAGAAACGCTCGACTAGTTTCAAGTCACGACGGGACTCTTATTCACGACTGCTTTAAAATTAGCACCTCAACTTAAAACAGGATTCGAAATTGTAATATTTTTTTTATAATAAAATTTGCCCTCAACAAAACTCACATGATAAATAATAAAAATAAAAATGTATAAAATGAACACCAAAATATTAAAAAAAATGACAACCATAATGTTATAATAATATCAAATAAATAATGAATTAGGGTATAGGGTGGTCGACTTTCAAAAAAAAAAAAACAACGAATAAAGCTGGATATAAAAAAGTGACGTCATTATTTCTGGATAGCGAATGAATGAGATGGATGTATATCGCCATTGCACATTCTTTAGAGCAGAATATCATCAATTTACTTCTAGATGGAGTGTGAGGGAGTGTCACATTAACTGATTATCAAAAACACATGTTTTTCGCAGTAAATAATCAAGAACATCGTAAAGACGTCCCCGATAAGACCTATTCACTGCGTAATATTTGCTGTACCCGTATTGCGTAACCCAGCGTCTCTATGTGACAGAGATATGAGGCCTAAATTACGGGACAATAATTCTAGTGAAGACTTCGTTCTTTTTTTAATAGGGAAAATCATCAAATGACTATCGCCATGAATGGGGTGAGAGGAAGTGTCAGACTCTTACTGACTAAAAATCACCCTATTTCGTTTCCTGCCTAAATCTTTCTTGTTAGGGGAAGATCGTCAAATGACTTCTCGCGCCAAGGATGAGGCTAGAGGGAGTGTCAGACTCTTACTGACTAAAAACTATCCCTCTAATACTCCAGGCCGGGGGACGCAGTACTATATTGCGCTTACAACCTCATTTTCATTCAAACTATTCTTTATTTCTTTTTTTTAAAGCAAAGTAAACCACCCTACTTAAAAATTAGTATGTATCGTAAAAATAACAGACAAATATCTTGTTCCTTGACACAGGATAGGTAAAAGTTGTTAATTTGAACCACCCATCATTCGTCTGAATTCTATGTTAATTTATTATTCTTCTCTTTATTAATATGGTAAAAAATTAGTTATATTTGATACGACCATTCACATAGGTTAGTTAGTAAAATTGTTAATCACACATACACATAATGTATTGTCCCAATTATGAATGAATTTCAATGAATATTTTGAGTACCAAGTTCCTATAAATTTGTAGACATAATAACTTATATGAAGAGTTATAGAAATAAGGGTTAGAATAATGTATGTGTCGATAAATATAGTAATGAGATATGGAACTCAAATTCATTGATAATAACCACTTAGAGCTGAGAAAAGGTCTACTAGGTCTACTTGGTCTACTAGGTCTATTTGGTCTACTAGGTCTACTAGTAGTACTAGTAAGAGAAAAGACACAACCGGACCCTTATTTATAAACAACGTAAACTTCGCAATGAAGCTACGCAAAGCTGTATCAGACGGTTGGCTAATACATGTCTTACACAGTTAAAATAAGAAAGTCAATATTTTCAATAAAACATTTTGTATGTCTCACGATACTACACAAAAATAGGAACTCAAATGAGGGTATATTTTTGGCTTTTTCCACCCTGGGGCAAGACGAAGTCTCTCTGGTTCTCTTGCTTATATTACATTTTTAATACAATTATTTTTATTGCGCGATTCGGAGACATATTTCTAACCATAAAGACACGAAAATGAAGTATTAATATTAGTCGTAAATGCAGAGAATAGAATGACAACCCTTCGTATTAGTAATCATGAGAATAATATAATTCTAAAAATGAATTATGATTTTTTTAGTAATAATCAATCACCTATTAAATAAAATAAAAAATGAACCCAACAATCAAATACAAAATGGTACTCAAAATGATACAAAAAACATCAATGAAAGCCCAAGGTTTCGGGGAAAGGACGTTTTCAGGTATTTATATATAGTACATACTATTTATATTTAGGCCAAGATTTGTTGTTAAATATTCAAAAACAAAGCACAAGTGTACAAGTACGTGTCTCTCTGACCAGCTCTATTTACCGACAGTAGGCCTACAATGCATACAATGCTAAGCGTGAAACTTTCGGGCTAGAAAGAGGGATGGAGCTATAAAAGGTGTATAGCTCCATCCCTCTTTCTCGCCCGACGACGACGACTTTAACACGTCATCGTAGGCCCTCAGTTCTGAGTGATGACAAAACGGTACAAGCACACTGTTTGCTGCGGACAGATGTACTCTTACCTTTGTGCTTTGTTTGGCAACATTTCACATCGATCTTGGACTAAGTATATAATATAGTATATAAATACCTAGGAAAGACAACGAGCAGCTTTCGCGTCTCACATTTAAAAGCTGGGAACACAGTAACGCTATTTTTTATAACAAGACAATTAAAAGAGATGTATATTTATATGCTAAGATTTAATTACTAAGGACAGTATATTACGCGACAGTATCAATGATAAAACTTTCCTAAATAAATCAACGTCCTAAATTGATTCACTGTTTTATCATCTCTAATAATTCATACTAAAGGATGATTTTTCAATAGCCAGATAAATGTTATCTGAGGAATAAAATTGTTGCTGTCACTGTCTTATACAAACATTCCGACGCGACAGCATCATAATTATTCCACAGGTAACTTTTGTCTAACCATTGAAAAATCGGCTCTAATTATTGTAACACTAGAACTGTCAATGTCAGTGTCATCCTTCAGTATAAATAAGGTGGTCGAGTGTCGGCCATTGACAATATAACTCTGGTGCAGTGATCTGCCCGACTTTGTACTGTGCAAGCAAAGTTAAAGTAACCAAGATTCAAGTCATATTACATTCACCATATTTTTATAATAAACTAGCGACCCGTCCCGGCCTCAAACAGGTGCAATGCTGATACTAAATTTCTCCAATATTTAATGGATGTTATCATAGATAGAAAACTTCCTCTTAACTCGAAAAATATCTGGCAATTTTCTTTATAAATGGTATTTTTATTGCACCAAAAAGACATTTCAATGGATTCTATCGAGTTGAAAGTCTAAAATTATTTATTTCATTTAGACCCTTATTTTTAAATTTTACTTTTGCTTAAACAAAGTTTAAAGATACGTCGAATTGAGTACCTCCTCCTTTTTTGAAGTCGGTTAAAAAGTTTCAGTCCTCTTAGTGAAGCTATTCGCTCGTACAAAAGTGTAGATTCCTATGGAGAAGAACGAGCAAGAAACTCCATGGTTACTCTTTTTCAAATCAGTTAATTAGTAAGTAAAGGTGGCGCTTCTATGTTCCCAGCTTTATAACAATATTGTACAGAAAATATTTTAACATGTCTACAATAAAGTTTCAATAGAATACATTTAAGATTTTCATAGATTCATAGGCAGATAGGTTAAAATATTTTTTGTACATAAAGACACACACACAGAATAACAATAGTTTGCATAGTTAACATTACGCAGGGTTCAAATTAGATAGTTAAGAAATATCACGTTAGGATTTCGTGTTACAGGGATACTTGATACGTTTCAAGTTTAACCGAAGCTCACACTTCGTAATGAGTCAGGTATCCTCGTAATGTAAACATTTAACTTAAAATAGAGAATTACTTTTCGTAGGGGGCTCGAACCCAAAATACAAATTTCTTGTTATTGTTTTAAGCTTTGATTTGAACCTATTTACTGTATGATGAGGCCAAAGCAATTTTTTTTAATACTTTGGCCGCCCAATATAATTATTATGAAGTTTTCTGGTCGGCTATGCTCGACGACACTGGCGAAATAGCCTATTTTACGTTTGTCGTCTATAACTGACCATGATTGTCAAAAAGTTAAACATAATTCTTTTTTAACGTGATTTTTAGTCCTTTAACTATCTTTCCATTAAATTTCAATGTTGGAAAAGTGCTTTTGGTTTTAGTCCAAGTTCACAGTTCCCAACGAGGTCTTACCTGTGCTAAGTCAGGGTGGTGCGGGAAGTCGTGGGCGTGATGGTATAACGTATGATGGTGAGGGGCTGGCAGTGATGGAAGCGCTGATGCAGGACGGGGAGCACCCCGCCGACCGCCCCGGGCTCCACCCCGACCGCCGCGTGACCTAGACCCGCCGCGCGAACGGCTCTCCTCACCGTTGAGGGATACCGTGTCTGTTGGCAGAAATAAATGGAGATTTAGTTACCTGTATTATATCCTATTTTGCACTTCAAGACTATAATATTATATTGTAATAATGTAGTTGTCTTTAAGTGGTACTATCATTCCTACTCTTGTTTTTCTTGTACTTATTTTAATTCTTGGAAGCGTGGTATGCACACTCGGATTTTCTCCTGTGTCGTGGGTGCGCTTACTTACAAACATAAAATTTCATATATACATACCACCCAGAAACGAATTGTTTATGATTACTCATTTTCGGTTTGCCGAACAGAGTTTTTATTGAACAAGCTCTTAGGACCATCCCCTGGTAATAAAAAATATCATACCGTTCTCCGGTCTCGTAGAATGTTGAGGACCATGCTTCCCGGGCCGCGCTGCCTTCACGTCAATGTCCAAGGGAACCCATTTGTGCTTCCCCGACTTACTGCTGCCTTTGCCGGCACCTGAAATAATTAACAACGTTATATAGATAATGAGGTTTCTTTAATACCCACATTACACTAAAAAATCTGGGACTCTGTTCAAAATGACACATTTTTTTAATGTAAGCAATCACCGCCGCCCACTCGTAATGCCAAAGGAGTTACTACAAGTGCGTTGCCGGCCTTTTGTGGGTTATTAAGGATTTAAGGATAGGCGATTTGAGGATTGAGAATGGGAGGAGGAGAATAATTGGGCATCCGGGATAACCTCACTCACAAAGCAAAACACAACGTAACTGTTGTTTTTTCTGTGAGGCCGTGGTATTACTCCAGTCGAACCGGCCAATTCGTGCGGAAGCACGGCTTTCCCACACGTATAATAATACGTTTTCTCAACCGAACTCTCGTCCTCGACCGAAGTATTTCTCATTATGTTTGCATTTGTCTGCTCTGTCTGGCATACAAAAAAAACAGACTCGAAAAATTCTCCAAATCAATTAATACGCACGCATCAGCTTTCTAAGCTGCTAGTGTGTTCAAGTATATAATAATAATAAAAGCCCGCAGGGCACCTTGAGGCGAGGTGACGGGAATTAGCGATCCCGCGGGCTACCATCATCCCGATTGCTCCAGGGAGAAGTCACCGTTCCTCATCTCCGGCTTGCCTTCATTGGCTGGCCGAAGTGGACGATGACGAGGAACAGGTCTCCCACCTCTGGCTTGCCTTCATTGGCCGTCCAGAGTGGAGTCGCGAGAGTAGTTATCCTGCTCGGAGGGTGGAAGCTGTTCGTAAGCGGCGAGTGGGCCAGTGATGCAGGATGCTTAGGCAGATGCAGATGATCTGAGTAGAAAGCTGGTGGCAGTTTCTTCACCCTTCAGCCACTCACATTTCCGTTGTCCCTCTGTTGCTATTACTAGCAACCATTCTCGGGGGCCCGGTCGGTGAGTTGGCGAGTCTCCACCTGCCATTTTTACGTGTATTTATTACATTGTTTCGGCAGGTGCCATAGTCCTTCCATAGTTCCCATCATACCAGTCCATAACAACCCACACCCATAGTCTTATCCCTTGTTTCCATTATCCGCAATAGTCCTACACTAACCGGAGACTGTCCTTGGGTGCATTTCCATAGTGCATACAGGGATAGCCGCCGGTTAGTGTCCCATTTCATTTAGATTAAAGTTGTCTAAAGGGCCTCTGCGCAGTTGGCTCCGGCCCCTCGTACGCCTTCCAAATGACCGGGACCCTGTGGTCCCGTGATTGGTAAAAACATACAAATAATAATAATAATAATAATACAGCACCCACGTGAGGATTGACGGTGTTGATTTATTAATAACGCACTAACCTGAACTCTTGGCTCGATCCGAGTGTTTGTCGTGGTGTTTTTCATTGTGCTGGTGGTTGTGTGTGGCCTCGACCCTCTCGGGTTTCGAGGGCTGATGATGAGGTTCCTCTGGTGGCTTGCGGTCTTGATCCTGAAATTTTAATGGGAGTTTCTATTATTAAGGGATCTTGAATATGAAGAATCTATTATTAAATCACAATTGCCTGGTCTAGTAAATTCCGTATCGCTTCAGGAACTATTATTATGATGACCAAAAAAAATTTTCGGTGCTAACAATAGCTCTTTCAGTCGTGGTAATTCGCAACAAAAGGTGCGTGGTCGCCGGCGTTCGCTTGGGATTTTATGAATTGAAAGCTTAATCTTCATAGTCGGACTAGCAACAATTTATGGATCACAAAAAGCATCGCTCCATGACAAGATACATATTTAGCGAACCCGCGACACGTTGCACGGCAGCCGGTTGTCCAGCCACTGCATATAGTGTGCAACATTTTTACATCTGACTTTAAGAGTCAATTTCAGACTAACGGTAGACACATGTTTTTCGCAGTAAATAATCAGAACATCGTAAAGACGTCCCCGATAAGACCTATTCACTGCGTAACATTTGCTGTACCCGTATTGCGTAACCCAGCATCTCTATGTGACAGAGATATGAGGCCTAAATTACGGGACAATATATGTAATACATATCCTAGGACCTAGGGAAAGATCATGAAATGTTTTCTCAGGCCCTGAATGGGGTGAAAGGGAGTGTCAGATCTCTTACTGACTAAAAACCACCCTTTTATCTCGATAGGTCTGATGGCTCTTTAAGGCTCGAGGTTTACGACAAAGACTTGAAATTTTCAATACACCCAAGCATACTATCAGACCAACACAGATAGAAACCACTGGGGCCGATGTCTGGCTAGGGTTACGATTGAAGCGAGCGCAATCTTGTACCGCGATCTGGCTTGGAGCATATGGCACGAGCCACCATGTTCCATTTAGTCAGTAAGAGTCTATACTCCACCACCCAGGTCGGGAACAGACTTGGTATATAATGCTCAAATTTTCGCAGTATGAGGTCTTTGCTCATCAGTACAACTTATAGGATAGTAATATAATAAAACTTACCGCAGTGCCATTATGGTGTGACGAATCAGCATCATGAGGAGGTGGCGTTGAATGACACCTGGCTCCACCTGATACGGCAGCGCCTAATGTCGGCCAATCGCCTATATCCGTGAAGTCTGATGCCTGAAGACAATGAAAAGGAGAGGTTTACTTCAAGGCAAATACTAAAGAGATGAAGAATAACTTGAACTTTATGGATGGACCAATAAAATCTATTTTTAACAAGTAAATGCTTGATCACCTGATGGTAAGAATTGCTCATTGAAAGGATATAATACACACATCAAAAGATACTCAGGTAGGGAACACATGTTCTTTCGACGTCATTGAACAGGTTTACCCGAAAAGGGCCAGATTTTTCAAATGATGTTAAATCAGTAAACAGACTACATAATTGACGGAAAGACTGTCTTAATCCTTCAGCATGCCAGGTTAATTCTGGGTAAAACCCCAGAAATAAATTAAACACCAAACGACCAGAAATATTTTATCAAACGGTAGAATCTATTCCGTCGTTTAACGAGAGCAATTGCCAATTTCATACAGGGGTCTTAAAATCTATTTTAAAATGTAATATCTATTATGCCCAATCACCATAATATTGTCCTTATTTCTTCGACAATACCTGACCATCGTGCTCCACCTTCGCCCAGCTCCTTCTAGGCCTAGTCTTTCTCCTGGCCGCGACTCCAGCCGTCATAGTATCAAATACTATGTCCCCAATCACTGTATCATCTTGTCGATCAACAGTTTTCGTATTTTCGTCCGATAAAGTTGTACTTCCCTGTTATGAGTTGAATATTTTAGTCTTTCGAAATCCTTCACAGTATTTCTTTTCACTTTGTGCTTCACTTGAGTATGTTAACACTTGTGATCTTTATTGAGATTGGATTAAGGTTTAAATTATCGTTCTGGTGATATAAGTAGATACAAAATAAAAATGGCATTGGCTAATCAAACTATAGTTACATTTACACGCGCATATAATAGTATTAAATTGCGATTATTTGCTATTTCAAATTATTCTATTAAGTTTTCAATGTATTAACGTTTCATTGTCTTCTACCTCGTACTTTCTCATTCATTCATTCGTTTATCACCTGTCTCATCCCTTGCTTTCAATCAAACAGTATTTTGTCAAGAGTACGCGAATGAAGAAACGTATACATACACAAAGTCCTAGATTATTAACTTAGTATCGCAATTGATGCAAAAATGTTCGATAAGAAAACGCCACAAATTCTATTTCATTATTCATACAATCCAAACTAATATTATAAATGCGAAAGTAACTCTGTCTGACTGTCTGTCCGTCTTTTCTTCACGCCTAAACTACTTTACCTATGATATATTTGAAATTAGGTACAGACATAGTTTGGAACTCGAGAAAGGACATAGGATAGTTTTTATACCAAAAAATTGCAGGAAGTCACTATATGCAAAAGCTAATATGATTATAAAACATTATAAAGTTCGAACAAACAAACCAACAAATACAAAATATTAATAACCTACTTAAATACATCAAACAGCAAACAGAAACGGCGACGCAACACCTAACATTTCTCAATCAAGGAAATATATTAAAATGCTAAGCAAAAACCTGTTTCATGACATTTTCGTTTTAAAATGTTTTTTAATATATTCATTTGAGGTCGTTCCGTCGTTTCGGCCCTAGTGATGATTTATAATTAATTAAATATAAAAGAATTGAAAGGTCAAAAGGAGACTAAACACAAAATGTCATAAAGTTGGTCTGTGTGGCTTAATATGAATAAAGAATGGTTGTGTAAAGGTCAAAGTCTAGTTCTCCTACAGTCAATCAAATGAAAATAACATTAAAAAGAACAAGATGAACTTGTTTTTAATCAGAAAAACTGTGTTTTTCTTTGCTGAGAGTCAGAGAACCATAAAAGGGTTAAGATTTTAGTCATATATTTATTGTATTGTAGTTACAACATAATAACCTGAAATGTCAGCCTCCGTATTTTACGACAGCTATTAGTGATAGTTAAATGAACCACAAACGGAGGCAAAAAGACAAAAGTTTATTTCTGCATAAACTCATTAAGATACGACCTCTTTTTGGTCATACAGTAACTATAAAGAACGACTGAAATGTAGAGGTGGCCTGTAGTTTCAGGAACAAACTTCTCATGCAAGAGAGTGCGAATTCGAAACCTTACAAGTACGAATGTGACTTCTTACGAGTTATTTACTTTCTAAGATAAAATACGATAGATGAAGTTTAAAAACGCCAATCATTATAGGCTGATGATTATGATGATGAAGAAGAACATCCACTGAATAAATAACTTAGACCTGATTCGACATTCATTAGTTGATTGCATATATTTAAGGTAACCCCATCAAAAACATGAACATAATTAATGATGTACTTACAAAAACAAGATTTAAGAGTTCAAATCTTGTGCCATACGTAATTAGAATATTGACTTACAAGTATTGCAAGTGACGGGAGCTAGTTACTCATTAAAACTAGCTAAAACAGCTGCAACGTTTCGTCATAAGCGTCTGACAAGATAAGCCTCCTTAAGCAACTGGGTTTTAAAGATAGATATTTGATAATACTTGTGACATATAAATTATATGTTGATTGATTGAGTTGTAATTACTTTTGAAAAGAAGGAATGAAATTGCTTGAAGAGGTGTTTGTGAAATGGCGGTTGTGTACTGGGACCCGCAAAATGTCAACTTTAATTTTATGTAAATCTTCGTATTGTTAATTTCCTGAAGATAATTAGCAAATTACCTGCTGCCGATAATGATACTAACAATGCAACCGTTTGTTTTCAGCAAACCGGTGTTTATGTCAATAAAGATAAGAATGCACTTGTAGATGCTGAAGCCAAAGTGCAATACACTATGTATTGCGCTTACAGAGTGTATAACGAGTGTATGTGTACTTGACTTAAACTAAAACGTTGATACAAATTACGCTAATAGTGAAAAACATTAATAAAGAGACTCATTACGTAATATTCATTATTAAACATTTTAAGAATGGATTAATGTTTGCATACTTTAAGGTTTTGAACGAATCTGTATACATAGATACAGTGCAGAATAACACATACGCTACTTTTTACCCTTAAAGCTACGGACGAAGCCGCTGGCAGAAAATAGTTGATGATAATATTACGAACATTCGATTTCCCAGGTGGGTAAAAGAGAAAACGGCATTATATTAATGACGGTTTTCATTGGTAACTTGCGAGTTTAGGAACAAGCGATGGCTAGGAAGAACTTTTTTGTTTATACTCAGAAATATAAAGCTCAAATTCAGAGACACTAAGACAATAACAATAAAACTGCGGGTATACTTAAATTTGAAACTACTAAACGCAGAGATAAAAAACGAAAGTGTCACATAAAGTCTAAAACTTTTCTCTTACAGAAAACAGCTGTTTCTTAACTAAATAGTTTCGATTATGGTAACCGGTTTGTTGAACGGAACCACTATTTAGCTACCGGCCTACCTGGTATGGTTGATAATACGGATAAACGGGGCCAGCTGTATTATTGATGAGGAAACCGACTTCTACACAACGTGTCGCGATTTCGATTTCCGTACGGAACAACTCCTTACTACATCCACAATTTATCAATGTATTCAATTAGAATTAAGTGAAGTGAAGAATTAAGTGTGGGAGAGCCATGCTTCGGCACGAATGAGTCGGCTCGACCGGAGTGAGACATGGAACAACCACAACGGTGTGTTTCGCCGTATGAGTGAGGTAGCCGGAGGCCCAATTCTTCCCCTCCCCAAATCCCTCCTAATTCCCAAAATCTAAAAAAATCCCTAGTCCCCAAAAGGTCGGCAACGCACTCGTTACTCCTCCGTCGTTGCGGGTGTCCATGGGCAGTGCTGATTGCTTACCATCAGCGTTTGCTTGTTTGCCGACCTATCACATAAAGAAACAATAAATTTCATTTTGAGTTTGTAAACTCACGACACAGGAAACAACGTAAGGCCATGTTCATTAACCCCAATAACATTTTAGCTGACCCGGGAAACGAATTACGGACCTCGCTCAGCAATTGTACTTGTTACCACTCGACCAAAGAGGCAGTCGGAAACTGGTTGCTTATAAATCAAGTTTGACAAAACAAAATCTCCTTACTGGAAATCGGTTGTAAATGATTTTTGAAAGGCTCAACTGTATGGATGCTAATAAATGCAATCAATACGCAGTCGTAATAGCGTTCAATTGTTTATTTATCAGTAATAGATAGAATGTTACAAAAACAGCCATGAGTATAAATGTAGATAGATGGAGATGGAGAGGGAGAGGGAGGCCAAAGAAAATATGGATAGATTGTGTTAGAAGTGATATGGAAGACCCTATCCCTCCTCAATCCCTAAATCTCCAAATCCCTAATACCTAAAAGGTCGGCAACGCACTCGTAACTCCTTCGTTGCGGGTGTCCATGGGCGGCGCTGATTGCTTACCATCAGGTAATCCGTCTGCTCGTTTGCCAACCAATTACATTAAAAAAAATATGTCTGAAACCACCTACCCTCTATAACTACATTTTCAATCACCTCCCAATCATTTCAAACTCAATCAAGTTTATCTACAATTAATATATTATCGAAAACAGCTACTCAAACGGGAAAGCAGTCATGCCGTTACATTAGATTTTAGCGATACAGTTGCTATAACAACGGCCTAAGGTGCATTTTTGAGAAGCAAAGTGATCATCTGATCTGTAATGTTAAATCTATGTAGACTTTCAGTGTAACATAAGTGTTAGTTCATTTCTCCTATTAGGAAAGTTTTATACACTATATCCAATGTGTGGAACAAATGTTACATTTTCCTTAAGTATATAAGTTTGGGATATCCATAACGTATGCACACCTTACCAATTACAGTCTTAAGTAAAGTTTTGAAACAAACGAATATAGAACTAATAGCAAGAGGCTATAAGCATGAATATTGCAAAAATAATTTAATGTAACGAAGGAAAAACCTTAACTAGGTTGACGGTAGCAACAAAACAAAATAATCTTCTACAGATAACGATTAAAATATAATTTCACATTGATAAGAATTAACTAGGAGATTCGTAAACAATTAAAATAGATAATAAACACATGAAACATTACCTGTTGAGGGTTTTTTAACATCCACACATCCATCCATACAGAATTTAAAACAAACCACTTAAAAACACTTAGTCACTATATTAACAAACAAACTAACAATAAATATATTCGAAAGTTAGATATCATCTGAATCGAAATAAACAATAAATAAAAATATACATTTAAAAATAGTCACTCGGAAACAACGTGTTCTCAACACAGTTACCCCACAAATGGCGTTTACAACACCACCATAAACAAAATAGAATCACGTGTCAAAGAATGAGGTTAGAAATGCATTTTCGTTCAACCATAGACTCTAAAGCTCCTGTCACAACGAAAAAAAAAAATTCGAAAACATTCTGGTTTTCGAATTTCGAAGCACATGACATAACCTAGAAAAGTTTTATAACCTAACTTACCGCGTGGCGAACACGCCGCACGCGCCGCCGGTATTGTTATCTCTTTCTAACTTAAGTGAGGCATCTTGCGTCTCGCTCTACCGCTGCAGGGGTCCACGGAGCGATCGTGCCAAGGTTACCGAAACTACACAATAAAGAGAGCTACGTACGAACGTAACTCGAGTTGAGCTATACATTATACGCTGTATTTAGAGCCAATAAAATTTACCGTAGAACGCGCCCGACCGGTTTCAAATATGGGATTTGGCAAAGGAAAATGGCGAACTTTTGTAATGTTTTTTTTTTCCTTTTCTAGGGATCATTGACAAAAAAATAGTGAGCTTGGGTAACAAGCACAAAAGGACTAACTAATAC